ATCACAGAAACTTGACATTTTAACAGAGGTGTGTAGACCTTTTCTATCTACTGTATTTGTGGATTGGATGCGGTTTGAACCGCATCCAATCCACATGACATGTGAAATACTATTGCTTCCTATGGTGCCTGTTCACATATGTCTGGTGCATGGCCAGTGCAGATTCAGTGAGGTTTTAAAGAGTCATGTCCCCCAGGTTCTTTTGCACATTCAGTCCTATTTTACGGACAATGTGGGTTCTGTATCCTCGGCCGTCACTCTGTGGGAGGCTCACAAAGCCACCATTAGGGCTCATTTGATTCAGATCGCCTCATCCAGGAAATGGGCCAGAGAGAGGAGGATGTCGGAATTGACCTCGAGATTGGCCGTGGTGGACGCTACTTGGAAAGCCTGCCCGACTACGGCCAACAGGAAAGCTCGAGATGTGGTGGCTGCTGAACTTGATCTTCTCTCCACTACATGAGCTGACAAGGCATTACGTTGGGCCGGACATAGGTTTTATAAAAGCGCCAATAAACCGGGGCCAATGTTGGCCAAGAAACATAATTCGCTGGGTCGCACGCATAAACCTATTCAACTCCGAATGAGGGGCGGTGGCCTTACCTCGGACCCTGTGAAGATTACAGATAGATTTGCAGATTTTTTTGTCCTCTCTATACCAAAAACTGAACACCTTTGTCACTGAACATGCTGATAGTTTTTTTCGCTGAGCTGCATCTACCCTCTTTATCTGTTACAGCCCGAGATGCCCTGAATGCAGATATCTCTGAATCTGAACTCTAACAAGCCATCAAATCTTTGAAGGCCTCCAAGGCTCCAGGCCCAGATGGGTTTTCTGGGCTTTTACTATAAAAAATTTGCCACCGTTCTGGTTCCGCACTTGACAGCCTTTTTCAATTCTTTGAAGCAGGGTTCCCGGCTTTCTTTGGAGTCTCTTCAGGCACATATTACTATGATCCCTAAGAAAACTAAAGATGCTTTTGAACCGAAAGCTTTCAGACCGATCTCGCTGCTAAATGTGGACTTGAAGATTTTGGGAAAGATTCTGAGCACTCGAATTAATAACTATCTACTCTCCCTTATTCATCGAGATCAGGTTGGCTTTGTTCCGGGACGACAAGCTGCTGATAACATCCATAAAGTCATCCATCTCATTCGTATTTTACATCGTCGCATGATACCAGGGTTCCTTTTATCCCTGGACATTTATAAAAGCGTTCGATTCACTTTCTTGGGAATATTTGACATAACGCTGTCTAGATGGAGGTTTGGTGACGCATTTCTGGCATGGATCTCAGCTTTATATTCGTCTCCCTCGGCCTCTGTTAAATATGCAGGTTTTTTTTCCTCGTTCTTCCCTATTTTCAGGGGCACGAGACAGGGATGCCCATTATCACCTGCTCTTTTTGTTCTCTCTCTTGAACCTTTAGCTGCAGCCATTCGAAATCATCTGGATATTTCTGGTGTCCCCTATGCCGGCACTCAATACAAGGTCAACTTTTATGCGGATGATGCCATTTTGGTTTTACCCAATCCTCTCATCATTCTCCCCAATCTCCAGGTCATATTGGACCGTTTTTTCGACTATATCTGGCCTCTGCATCAATTTGTCTAAAACCACGGCATTGAATATTACACTCCCTGCCGACCTCGTTGAACAGCTGCAGACACATTTTCAATACCGTTGGGCATCCCATTCTCTGGCTTATTTTGGCGTTACACTTACTTTCTCCTATACTACTTTATTTTCGGCTAATTATTACCCCTTATTGCGCTCTGTTACTTCCCTGCTGCATTCTTGGCAGTTTCCTTCTTTATCTTGGATTGGCGGGATACATGCTGTCAAGATGACTATCCTACTGAAGATCCTGTACTTTTTCCGCACTCTTCATATTCAGGTCCCTGCGTTTTTTCTCTGTGTACTGCAAAGCCAGATATTCAGTTTTATTTGGGCTCATAAACTTCCCAGAGTGCCTACAGCCACTCTATATACTCATAGATTACAGGGAGGTTTGGGAGTTCCACATGTTTCTAGATATTACTTGGTGGCTCAGATTTCCCAGTTGTCTATGCTTCATGCCACGACAGATATCCTGTTATGGGTACTCTTGGAATTACCCAACTGTGCTCCGCTTTCCTTAACTGCATTGCTTTGGCTCCTGCCTAAGTTACGTCCTCCGTATTTGAGCCCTATCATGCTTCACAGTTTACGAACCTGTGATTCTGTAAAATATTCAGGTAATTTGATTTAATAATTTTTACCTCTTTCACACATAATCCTTTATTTCCGCCAGGTCTAGAACATCCCCCTTCTTTCTCTTGGTGGACCTCCCATGGCTTTGTTATTGTACATGATTTTCTGAACGCTTGTACATTTCCTACATGGGAGTCTCTTCAAGAATCAAGTTGGGTCCCGCCACGGGAATATTATCGGTATTTGCAATTGCGCCACTGGGTCCTATCCCTCCGTCGTACTTCTACATACCCTTACCGCAAAACGTCCTTTGAACACATTTGTCAGCAATCTCCAGGGTCCCCTGGTCTCATTTCTGTAATTTATGCCTCCCTTAACAGTAGGTCCTCCTCACCACCCCTGTCTTATGTCTCTCAGTGGGATCGAGATATGGGTGGCTCGACTGCAGCGGAGGATTAGCGTAGGGCCTGGGGGATAGTGGCAAAATGTTCATTCAATACAATCACTCTTGAGGCAGCCTACAAAGTTCTCCTGCGGTGGTACTGGGTCCCGGCTCAGATTGCTCACTTTAATCCGACCGGCGGAGACAGGTGTTTCCGGAACTGTGGTCTACGCGGGGGGATGTCTTACACATTTGGTGGTCGATTGATAGGCTTCTGGTCTAGGGTTTTTGGTTTGCTACAAACGCTATTTCACATTACAGTCCGTAGGGATGCAAGGGTGGCCCTTCTGCATTGCCCAATTTTGGGTCTGTCTAGATCTCAGCAGAAACTGGCATCCTACCTATTTCGGCCAAATGTGCCATAGCTCAAGCCTGGAGAACCCCTTCTGTTGTCTTCCAAGGGGTGAAGATCCGGATGAATGATATGTTGATCAATGAACAGATGTCTAGCATTCTTCATGATTCTCATCCGAGATTCCTTAAGGTTTGGGAACCTTGGATACGATATTCCTTGCAATCCCTGCCCCCTACTAGTTATGGCCTCTTATAGTTGCTGCTTGTGCTAGCCCTGGATCCGTGATTCTCTCCTAGTCTCCCTTTCCTCTATGTTTTCTTTCTGATTCCTTTTTTTTTTTTGTCATTTTTATTTTCTTTTTCCTTTCTTCTAACCTTTTTTCTTTCCTCTTCTCTTTACGGTATTATGTTGGACTACTGCTGATAATATTTGGTTCGACTTTTTGCCATCCTTCCTTGCTGTCATTGGACATTTGTTATTTGGCTAATACAAGTCAGCAGGATGTATCTGCTTCCGAGTTATTGTTATGCTCGGTCCCTGCGCGGGCGTATATTGAGCTTGTTGTGTTCCTAAAACAAAACTTTCTTAATAAAAATATTGAAACAGAAAAAGAGTCATGTCCGATTTCTGAGCAGTGTCTTCAGGTTCATGTGTGGATTACAGGCTATTGACTTCCATGGGAACCTTTCCTAAACCGCATATGTGTGAACAGGATAAGATCCTGAACTAATCCTGTCCTGAACTGGATGTAAACCTGACGAGAACCTGTAAACAGCTACTGTAGCAATTAGCTGTGAAACCTGAGCTTCAATCCACACTACATATGTGTGAATCAGCTCTTACTAAATTAAACATTTCCAACTTGTTTATCCCATCAATGATGTAAACTGTTTCTTGCAATATTGGCTACAGTTCCATGAATTCTGAAAAATATAAATCTAAAATCAGCCGATTATTTAAAGCTTTTTTGTTTTGTAAATGATAATCGCATTTTCCGTACAAAAGATGACTTACTGGATACAGCAAGTGCTGTTTTAAACAAACATAACCACTATTACACAAATTTTGTGAGCTTTGCTCCAACCAAGATCAATACAGCACACTGCAATGCTCTAATTACATTTACTAACCCAACGCAGGTGGCCGAAATGTACAATTAAGGGAATTGATCTCATCCTCTTTACATTGTGAATCTGAATGACACATTCTGAATACACTCAATACATTTATTTGCACCAATACTGAGATTGTCTAAAACCAAATATTTACCTTTACCCCTCCAATAGTATTCACTACAATGGGACTGATTACTAAAATAATAGAAGGACAACCAGTAAATTCCAGCTCTCAATTATTGGCTAGCAACACAAGAATTGCAGCAAGCACTTGACTGGTTGCTGTAAAGAAGGCATGCATGTAATTTTCACATTCATTTTATAAATAGGCCTCTGTGTCACTCTTTAACCCAATCCAGATCTATTAATATATAATATTTTAACACCAGCAATGTCAAACCTATAAAAATATCTTATTTGGACATTTATGAGGTAGATCCACAGTCAGGGTTTTATTACTGCCTATGTATGCTTTAAAAAGATTTCTTCCTCATGCCCAATACTGCCTAACAGCTGTATTTTGGATAGGAAGTGAAGGTAAATACCCCTAATATGAACACAGACAGTAATATCATTCTAGCACAGACCCTAACCCTTCCCCATTTTTTAAGACAGGGTTTTTATTGCTACTTTTCTACCTGTTGGGGGAGATTTCCTTTAACTTCCTGTTCTGTGTGACATCTAACAAACAGACAGGAATTAAGGTGAAATCTCTCTAGTAAGGACACAGCAACAAACCCCCCAAAAAAAACTCAATAGTGAGTTAACCTTCCCAGGCTCTATTCAAACTAAAAGGATAATTGGCTGGCACTCACCTTTAACCGCCTCCCGCCCGCCATATAGCAAAATGACTAACGCAAGGCGGTTCTCTCGTCCTGGGAGGACGTCATATGACGTCCTCCGATTCTAAGCACGCACACGCGCGCTTCGGGAGTGCATAGCGCGGCGATCGGCGGTGTGCTGTGTCCCTCGGACACAGTGGATCACCGATCAATGGAAAGAGCCGAAGATGTCGGCTTGGTCATGTGATCAGCTGTGTCCAATCACAGTTGATCACATGTAAACAGGGAAATGCCGGTTATCGGCATTTCTCTCCTCACAGCTCTTGAGGAGAGGAGAGCCAGTAATCGGCATTCCTTGGAGGGGACATGTACACTGATCATCAGAGCACTGATGATCAGTGTAGCCCCAGCAGTGCCACCTGTCAGTGCTCATTAGTGCCACGTGCCAGCGCCCATCAGTGCCACATCAATGCCACATATCAGTGTCTACCAGTGCACATCAATGCCACATATCAGTGCCCATCTGAGCTGCCTTTCAGTGTCACCCATCAGTGGCAGTCAGTGCCACCTATCAATGCCAGTCAGTTCCACCTATCAGTGCTGCCAATCAGTGCCACCTATCAGTGCCAGTCAGTGCTGCATATCAGTGTGCATCAGTGTTGCCTATCAGTGCTGTTGCCGCCTAACAGTGCCAGTGCCACCTAACAGTGCCAGTCAGTGCCGCCTACCAGTGCCACCTATCAGTGCCGCCTATCAGTGTCATATATGAGTGCTGCCTTTCAGTGCCCATCAGTGATGCCTGTCAATGCCCATCAGTGCCACCTACCAGTGCCTCCTCATCAGTGCCACCTATTAGTGTCCATCAGTGCAGCCTATCAATGCCCATCACTGCAGCCTCATTAGCGCACATCAGTGAAGGAGAAAAATCACTTATTTACAAAATTTTATAACAAAAACTAAGAAAAAACATTTATTTTTCAAAATTTTCAGTGGGTTTTGGTTTGTTTAAGAAAAAATAAAAACCCAGAGGTGATTAAATACCACCAAAATAAAGCTCTGTCACAAAAAAATGATAAAAATTTCATATGGGTACAGTGTTGCATGACCGCGCAATTGTCATTCAAGGTGCAACAGCACTGAAAGCTGGAAATTGGCCTGGGCAGGAAGGGGATATAAGTGCCATGTAGGCTAGTGGTTAAAGTGTCATTCCACTTTTGCAGTCAAATTTGAGAAAACCACATTATACATTCCAATTCAAGCAGAATACCTAAAAATGTTTGTTACTTTTTAGATGTTTCTTAGGAGAAGGTGTCTTGGCAGAATGCACACATTTATAAACAAGTACAGGGTGAGTCTGTACCAATAGAAAGGCTAAGGACAAGCTGAATATCCTCTCACTAGCATACAATGAAAACGTCCAACTTCAACCATTTGCTGGGACAGACAGTGTTCAAATCCAGTTTACAACTTATAATGAGATCTGACAGCACAGTGCAGACAGGTTTAATGCTGGCAAAGACAACTCTGCAACCCCCTCATAAACAAAGACAAGTAGGATTTTCAGTGTGGGAGTTATCATAAAAGTGTATATAAAATGGTAAGTAGGAAATGTTAAACATTTAATGCTATGCGATTGGGAACATGTAACATTTAAAGTAGGTGTTATCCCAATTTGGCAGCAAAAGTGGAAATGTAATTAAGTCACCTAAGCTTGTTATTTAGGCTCAGCATTCCAAAATGTAGTCAATCATTGAAAGTTAGTCCTTCTTGTGTGTTTTTTATTTGGGCATGGAACCTGTAATAGTATTCCAATTATATAAATCCCACATAATGTACATATGTTTGAATACTTTTCCATCCCTTATGTAAACCAACCACCCTGCATACTAGTATCAGTTTAATGCTTTGTGGTTGTTCCATCTGTGCACATTAAGCTGTGTTTAATGTTAATTTGTATTTGAAAGTCTGCATGTGGGTGGACGTCTATGAATTCAGGAACAGTTACAAAACAAAAGTGTCTTCACATTTACTTCTAAATAAAATCAGGGTTACGGTTACACTGTTAACTTTTTAAAGTAAACCTGCGCCTAAGCATTACTGTGATGATTCAGTAAAGCTGAAGTTTGGGTATGGCTATTTTTGCATAGTTACCTTGGTCCAGCTTCAGCAAATGTAAGTATGTATGAGCTATACCTGGCCAATCCCCGTGAAAACTGAAAATCAATTTAGTAGGCGCCACTAATACAGTGGTCGCTTCTGGCTTCTGGGTCCCATGCCAAGCGGCTGCATAGTGAACACAGGGGGTCAACTGGTACTTAGACTCAGCAATTTGGGTGAGCCGGTGTCACTTGACAGGGGTCAGCCTAACAAGAAGACATCAGTCAGTTCTGAGGGGAGAGGTTTGCTTTATAGTGCGAGAGTGAAACTTCATCTATGGTGCAGTTATATTTATACAGTATGGTAACCCTGCCATCACAACCAGCTCCCCTCCCCAGATTTATAATCATTGTTCCCAATCAAGTTTAATATCACTTAACATATTGTATGACCCACTGTCAAAATCTTCTTGGCTGGGCCCATGCGTTTACTCTGCATGCCCATTCATTCCTATAGAATTCCACCTACAAGCTTTGTTCTGACAGGAGAACTATCTATGTAGCCTCAATCAAATAAATCAAAGTTGTCACACAAGGACATAGACTATTCCCTTGTTATAAATTAAAATGTTACTATTCTTATTATCCCTTAGTACAAGCACTTTAGCAATAAGGTAAACCTGAACCTCAGCAAACAGCTGAGCAACAGCAAACAGCTGAACAAATCTATTTGAATTGTTATACCTGGCAAATGATTTGTAATTCTAAGAAAGCTCCCTCAACATTTCCATGCAATTATTGTGTTTTATCCGAAATATACTTGAGGTGATTGTAGCCCTATTAGCATACTTGCAGAAACAATTAATTACTGTCCATGTTAAGTGTTCTTCCCTTAGACATTGTCTTACTTTGCTAATACTTTGTATATTAGTACTGTTTGGACCTTGAAGAAGAAGATACACCCCAAAATTTTATCCTGAAAATTTGGATATTAAGCTGCCATACATGTATCGAAATGTGGTCGTTTCAGAAGGGTACGATCCACCGATTGACATCTGTACAACCAGCCTGTTGTAAAAGTTTCACACAACCAGAGGAGCCAGCTATGGCCAGCAGCGCTGATCAGTGTACTCCCCACCATTAGAACATAATAGCCAATGGAGAAATCTGGTGAAAATTACTGTATGGGCTGGCTTAGTGCAAACAAAAAAATCTGTACAGTACTGAATTGTTTTTGATCCAACCTATAGGAAATATTTTTCAGTTGATCTCCAGATTAAGGAGATCAATGCAATGTCAAACATTTCAAATTAGATAAAATAATGTAGACTGTACTACTGATCACAAAAGCAACATATGCAATTTACAGTAAATCAATAAAAACTGAACATTGGTCTTCCGTCATTTGTTGAATAGGGTTATGACGATGTCTGTTAAATAATCTTTATCTATTAATATGATTTACGGAAGATAGAGAACAGATCAAATTTTAGGAGTTTTTCCTATAGCAAATCTGCATGCATAAGAACTTTTATTAAAACGTCATCAAATCCTATGCACAAGACAAAGTGATAATATAGCTCCTCAGTTCCACAGCATATTTTGGAAATAATAAAATCCATTTTCAAGCCAGGAGCTCCTACACTGAAACAAAAGCTAATGATGACCGCTATTTTAATCACTGCCTGTGATTATGCTGTTTATTCCCATGTTCTAGAGAGTGATAATGAGTATTTGAGGTCATCAAAGGTGCTTGTTAGAGTACAAAGAGATTTGAAAAATCTCCCTGAATGTAGGTAAAGATCCTTCACTTCTCAATGGGAAAGAGTGAAGGATCAAAAGTATCTACCCTATCTATTGTCAGCCTCTTGATTCTTCACTAGTAGTATCAGAGAATGGGTCATCAAATCTATACATTATAGACACTCAAGTGGTAGTAAAGTCATGTCTGCCATTTTTACCTACAGGTAATCTTATAATAAAGCTTACCTGTAGGCAAAATCAAATATCTCCTAAACGTGTACTGTTTAGGAGATTTTCCAAGGAGCACCAGCCAATGACATCGGCATACTGTGCCGTTCCTTCAGAGCTCTGTGCCGTAAATAGTGACTCCCATGTGCATACGCAAGAGTGACATCCTCACAGTTCGGCCAGTCAGACAGCCGGAGTCTGTGAACCTGTAAGCAAGACCGGGTGAAGATGGAAGCCCTGTCAGCGGTGACAACTGGCCACTGGAGAGCTTAATTTTAAGGTAAGTCTCTTATACTGTGCTAGTATACTAGCACATTATGACACTGCCTAGCAGGTTAATTTTTTTTTTTTACAAGTAAACCTTAAAGTGGGGTTCCAGTGTTATTTTAAACTTCCAATATTTCCAATGCTCCCCCAATGTACAGTGCGAAATGGAAATTATTTTTTGTTTGTTTCTAAATACCTTTATTATAATTCTTCCTGTCCCAGCCACCTAGACAATTACATCATTAGGCAATTTCCACTGACTCCTGGAATATCAGTGTCATACTTTTGATGCCCCCTGACCACAATGAAAAATAAGCTCTGAAGCACATTAGTAAATGGACAACCTCCATTTTGAAGTGATATGGACTATGCAAAAGTCAACATTGTTGAACAACTACAGGCAGTTCTGGGCAGAGTGTAGAAGGATTAAAGCCTCACTTCGGTTTTACTCCTACCTGGGGCTATGTTAAAAAGATTTGACCTCACTTACACACATTGACAGCCTAACCAGACAGGAAGGTAGTTAAAGTCTGCAACATGGACACTCAAAGCAATATAAAGTTGACAGAGGGTCTAGCCTTCCTCTACTCTAATAAATCAATGATTCATGTCTGTGTCCTTGTTGTAGATGGTTTCTCACTTCCTCTCTGGATTACTGTCACATAACAAAAAGTGAAAGTATGGCTCCTAAATAGAGTCCCAAATAGCAGTAGAAACAAACAGGGAATCGATTATTCTATTATATGATCCAGGAGACCAAATTCCAAAAGTTAAGAACACTACGACACTGATGAATAGCAAAGTATCAAAGCATTAAAAAAATTCCATAGTAGTGTATTTTAAAAAAATCTGTCAGTGCGAGATGATGCTGAGCTTGGTCTAATTTTCTTTCTTTCAAGAAAAGGTCAATTTTTCCATACACAGATTTGGAAAATATGCACAATAAGCTACACAAAATTAGACTGATATTTATTATTGTCATATTGCTTGCTGGAATGTAAATACTCTTTGAATGATTTGAGGATACTAATCCCCAAAACATATGGGAAGATTTAGGTCTCAAAAGATTTCAGTCCAGAAAGTTTATACAATACACAGATTTTTAAAAGTCGACAGAGTTATTCAGCAAATTAAATCAAACAGAATAATTACAGCCATAGACTTTTAAACATTTTTTGGTAAATGTCAGCTGCAGGAAATTGGGGATTCAAACAACTTTATTATCCCAGCCCAAGGATATTGACCATACATGTGTGATGAAAACATACCCAAATATGTCAGCTGAAACAATTGCTATGGATCAGTGATCAAGTGTGATTTGTGTTACCAAAAGTCATCCCACCCTGGGATTTTTTTAATTTTATTGCAAAAACCTTTGTTTGGGTCAAAAATGCTATAATTTACAGAAAAAC